GCCATCCTGCCCGCGGCCGCCTTGTAAACCCAGCCCCGTCCCGTCCCGTCCCCCGCGGCCTCCCCGGCCCATCCCGCCCCTGAGGCCCGGCTTCCCTCAGGGAGAAGGAGCGGGAGCAACTGGCTTCCCTGAGGAAACACCACGAGGAGGAGATCGACCATCACAAGAAGGAGATCGAGCGCCTGCAGAAAGAGATCGAGCGCCACAAGCACAAGATCAAGAAGCTGAAGGACGATGACTAAGCTGCCGCGAGCGGCAACTCCCCGGCCCATCCCGCCCCTGAGGCCCGGCTTCCCTCAGGGAGAAGGAGCGGGAGCAACTGGCTTCCCTGAGGAAACACCACGAGGAGGAGATCGACCATCACAAGAAGGAGATCGAGCGCCTGCAGAAAGAGATCGAGCGCCACAAGCACAAGATCAAGAAGCTGAAGGACGATGACTAAGCTGCCGCGAGCGGCAACGCCAGGCGGGGTAAAGCGGCGCTGAACACCGCGCGCTTTGGCCAACATAAGCCACATTCGTCTTGTCATGTTATGGCCTGCAAAAATCTCAAATAAACTATTCGGTCTCTTTCCTTTCTGTTCAGTAGATGTTTACTCCAACAAACAAAACCCCTCTGCTGTCTGATATTAAGCTGTGTGTTCTTCCAAAATAAGAGTGTACTTTGGGGTAGGTAGTCCTGTGCACAACCATTCCCTTGAGGCTTTCTCTGAAAGAAAATGACAATTCATGCTTAGGGAGCAAACTCTGTTGCAGTTGAAGCTGCAGAGAAAGTGGGAAAAGTAAAAGATGGCACCTGTGTGGAAACAGGTTGATGTCGGAAGTTTTTCTCTGAAGAAAAACGTCCGTCTTTGTGGTCCAGGGAGATGTGTGCGCTCTACTGGGCTAACAGAATATCCATTAAAAACAATTTCTTCCTTCACAGTTTATGGTACTAAACCTGAACTGCAGTGAAAGAAACCTGGAAGAAATATGGTTGAAGAGACTTGCAGTTCCTACAGTTTTTAAGGCCTCCTGTGCTACAATTTGCTACACCGTGATGTCGCGCGGTGCTGCGTTACTGGAATTAGGTGTCTGGAGCTGATCCCTCTGAGAGGGCAGGAAGCGAAGTGGAGGCTTTGACATAGAAAGTGCTTTGACAAGGCTGCGCCTTAACTGTTGGACTGGGGATGGAGTCACAGAGTCCCCTTTGTTGCGATTTCCTTCCTAATGGAAGTATCCTGCTCGTGTAGCAGCAATAGTAATTTTTAATAGATGATTTATCTAAAAGCTGGCACAACCTCAAGCAGCTGCTCTCTTCCTGGCCCTCTGAGGAGCTGTGCAGGGAAGGTATTCAGAGCTACCTGTGGGTCCTTTTCAGTTGGGACTGATTAACCTGAGCCAGGAACATTGTTTAAAACCGTCCCCGCTTCCCTGGGAATAGGAAGTCTGGTGGGAAGAGCTCTTCCAGAAAAGCAATATACTTCAGTTGACCCATTTACTTTTTACTTATTCAAAAATTCCCAAGTAGGATGCATCTTCCCGAATCTGTGAATTGGTTGGCCCCCCACAAAAGCTGCAGGGTCACTGGTGAGCCAGCAGGATTGAAGAATACTTTCTTATCATTGCAGCTACAATGGACTATGGAGTAGTTTAAGTCTGTATTAGGACAATTGTATTTTCTGAACTGATCAGGCCTTAAATTCATGGTTTTGCGATCCCACTTCTCTGCATTTGCGTACACTTTTTTTTTTGTCTTTACATTGCAGGCTGCTGTTTTATGGACAAGGGGTGTTCTATTGGGTGCACTCACTCACTTTCTGGGTGTGAAATGGCCGTGTTTTTTTTAATATCCCATTGAAGGAGAGGATGGTGTCTGTGATGTTGTCTTTAACATCTACACAATCTTCTGTGCAGCATTTGGCATCACCCGTAGGTGAGATCACGGTGTCTGAAGAACTGCCAGCCATGGCTGCCATTCGCCAAGTCCGGGCCCAGAGAGTGTTCAGGTGCGGTACGTACCTCTACACAGGGTAAAAAAAAAAAAAAGGAAACAGAAAAGAAGCCCCAAAGATTCCCTAGAAGGGAGGATCCAGACTGTGGGATATCCAGAACCCACCAGAAAACCAGCTGTAGACGTGTCCACAAAGAGACCTGGCCTGTGCCTGGAGCTGCCTTTGAACTGAATGCCAGCAGGGTCAAGCTCTGACTCGCTGCAGCTGTGCAGTGTGTTTGAAATGGGTAAAAGCCTGGGAAGGTCCAAGCAGTGGATTATAAACAAACCAGTTCAGCTGCCGAGCCTTTGCTCGAGTGCCTCCAAGGGCAGAGGGGATGATTTGCTCTGTGGGAAGTGCTGTGGTTGGAACCTTTCTCTGTGTTGCCTGCAGGAGAGGCGTTCCGCGCTCTGAAGACTGCTGAGGTTCAGAGGTGCTGTCCAGCATCCTGCTACGCGGCTGAGAGCTTTCCTGGCTACGAGGGCTGCTGAGAGACATCTCGCTCTCCTCGTTGTGCTTCAGCTTTGCATGAGCTTCTGCTGTGGTGCTTTGCTGGTGAATTGCTTTGTGCCCTGTCTGGGTCTTTGCTCATAAATCCATCCTGTCCTCTGGGGAGGACCGTTCAGTTACTTCGCTGCCTTAAAATCAACTTTGCAAACAAAAAAAAGCGGGAGGAGGGGGCAAACATTCTTCTGTCTCTTGAAATTGCCTTCACTAAATCAAAAAAGTTTCTGGTTTTAACCAGATGACCTAACAGGAGCTTTTCTACTGTATTCCACTGTCCTCTCTATTTGGAAACTTCCATACAGTTCTAGTAATCTAAATCTCCCTGAGGCTAATTTGCTTTAGTTAAATGCAAGTCAAACGCTGGCCATTGCTAATCACACAAGCACTTTTTCACTTCCTGCAAGGAGCAAATGTCTTTTCCTAATAAAAGATTTGAACTTGATGAGTGAGAACTCATTGTTTCTACAAGTAATGAGCCCCCCCTCACCCCAGCTTACCCTTCCCGAGCAGTTACAAGTATTTGCAGCTATTGCTCCCTATACTCCAGCATCCCAAACCCCTTCTCTTGTGCTGCCCATGGTGCTCATTAAAACCTTTATGAAGTGCTCAAATCTCATTCCCTCTCTCCTGAGGTTAATGAATTAGTTTGTGCAATATTTGATCAGTAGCACAGCTGGTTCAGAGTAAAAAGTTTGGGAGAAACCCCTCCCTTTTGGCCAACAGTGAGTTGTTAAATCATCTTCTATAGCTTCAAAATCAGTGTATGTTTTTTCTTCCATTGACCTTTGTGCTGTTAGTATCTGTTCAGAAAGCAACTAAATGGTACCAATATATGTTGCTTGTTAATGATTCTTAAGATACAGTAGTAATCAGTAACTCCAAGCATACTGTATTTGGGGCGTCTTACTAAGGCTCCACAATAGCACCAGGCCAGGAGTTTGCAACAGGTTGTTCTACACCTCCTTTGACAGCGCTGGTCCTGAAAGCCATGGGGCAGGTAGATGGGAAAGGTGTCTTGTGTTTCAGACAAGCCTCTTAACAGAAGCATTTCAGCAACCAGAAGGCAAAGATGATTTAAGAGATGAGTTTGGCTTGATGCAGGAAATTCTAAGGATTACAGGGTGCCACAAGGTCCAGAAAAGCACATATGGTCTTGCCACCGGGAGTTGTGGTCTCAGCTCTCCATTTTGTCATAACTGATGTCCACAAAGACATAAACTGTCCATGAAGCAGTAAGTTTTCTTGCCTGCCCTTCCAGATTGATGCAAGGCAGCTGTCTACAGCAGATGTTTGACCCTCTTCTTGTTTCTAAGAGTCTTTGTTCTGCCTTGCTTTGGCCCAGATCTTGTGTGTTATCTGTTTGATATTAACCAAACAGAGCTGTAAATAGCATCGTTCTAGCAGTTTCTAGCAGTACCTCTTTGAAATTACTTTGTCCTAGAGCATTTCGGACTTCTTTTCAGGCCCAGCTTGCTGCCTGGCACTGGACCAGCTCTACTACACACTGGAGTGATGAACCAGGATCTCAGCCAGAAAGCCAAAATGTTAGAGATCTCTACAGTCGTGTGAAGCTCTTGTACTTCTACGCTAGTTGGCAATACAATAGAAAATACTCCTTTCTGATGCCCAAAGAAAAAATATTCAGCTAAGAAGCTTCATGGGTGAAAATGGTAGGAAGAGCCATCTTCATCCAGGAGCAGAGACCAGCATGAGTCAACACAAGCCAATAACCACAAACATACCAGCAGTTGTGTCTTCATGTCAGAAGTAGATCAAATTCATTACAGCCATCCGTATACTGAGCATGCATCACATCACAGATGATTTTCATGTCATTTTCCCCCCCAAATAACATGTTTCTACCAATTGTGTGAATCAAAGCTTACAGACCTTGTAACAGCAAAGATTACAAACTGTGCTGCCTGATGAAACCAGTGTTATAAAGGAAATTGTTTCAGTGATCCCATCAATAGTGTCACATTCCAGGGGAAAAGTAACAGTACTAGATCCCCTTAAGGAGCAGGGTGGAGGCATGGCAGCTTAGAGTTAACCCATGTTTAATTACGAATTGCATCTTGCAAATACCAATTTATAGCTCCATGTATTGATTGTGTAGCAGAAAGAACATGCTAAAATCTTGTACTGGCAAAGTCATGGCAGGTTTAACACAAAAATCAATACTGATTTTGGTTACAAAATGAACAAAACACAAACAAAAAGAAAACAAATACACCCACTTCACACCCCACATCCTGGTAGTGTTCACATCCGCATTTAGCTCATGGCCAAGGAGGTGCTTTGAAAAATACCTGTGCTGAGCAGATAAGAAAGCGTCAGCTGACAGCAGGTATGTTAGTACTCTGTGTTTCACTCCTAGATGGTACATTTTAAGATATCTTGAAGAGTTTTGCAGGATGTTCATTAAGTACAACTGAATCATAGAATGCTCAAGGTTGGAAGGGACCTCTAGAGATCATCTAGTGCAACCCCCTGCACACGCAGGGTCACCTAGAGCACGTGGCACAGGGCTGCGTCCAAGAGGGTTTGAAGATCTCCAGAGAAGGAGACTCCACAACCTCTCTGGGCAGCCTGTTCCAGTGCTCTGGCACCCTCACTGGTAAGAATTTTTTAAGAAACTAAAGTGAAAGGTGTGCTTGTAAACACCCCTCATTTCTTCTCATTTTTCAAACTGAGAACTTAAAATCTACTACTCGACTCCCGGTGAAGCAACAGCACAGATTTCACAGGAGAACATCTGCCATG